TTCATGAATATCAAGAAAGGCCGTTCTGGAAGAGACTGGAATTTCATCAGCACTTCCAAAGCCTTATCGTTTATTATAGCAGCGCTGTCTCTCTCTATCCGTCCGGCAAGGGCTATCTGCAGCCGGATCTGCGTCAGCGCCTCAGCCACGTGTGATTGGCGGCCTGAGGAGCATGTCTATAGGAAAATGCACCTTCACGGCTGTGAAATGGAGTGGGGAGAGATTGGTTTTTGTGCCGGCGTGCAGGTCGGTGATATGCATCAGGCCGCGGATGCCTGGCTGCGGGGGAAACGGCTGCCCGCTGGGAGATTGGACCAAACCAGATCAAAACCAGGAGGGGAACTCGCCCTAAGTGTGGCCTCTTTTACATCTTAATCACATTTGTTGCATCAGCGCGTGGCGGCGCGCCCCAAATCCACGCCTTTCCAGTGCCACATTGGCTTAAGATGTGGCTGTAGATACTGGTCAGCTTTCTGTAGTGGCAGTTTGACTGCTGTGAAAAAAACACTGAATACTTTCACCCTCTGCATTGAAAGTAGATGCAAATGGATGCATGCTAGTCGCAGCAGGCTGGTCTCTAAGTGTCCCTAAAGGGCTGCAGAGTACAGTCATATGCAAAAGCTTGGGTGCCGTGGTGAAATGACATGGTTTGTTGGTTTTCTAAGTACATATCTGCACATTTTACTGCAAAATCACTGTTTATTTGCTGAGTTTAACACACTGGGAAAAAAACAAAATGTGGTCTGTGCAAAAGTAGGTTTTTAAATATGTAAAACTTTTTTTTTTTAATTATTAGAAATGAATGAGAACAAAACATGTAATTTAACTTGGGGTGTTCAAATATTTGCATACAACTGTACATCGTAAGGCCTTTGAGGTGCTGATATTGGAGAAGACTACGTAACAAGTGAATTGTGTGCTATCGGCATTCTGAGCTCCCTTAAATCTTCCAGATGAGTTCCTGTGGGTGTTTAGTTGAATCTAGTCGATCATAAATAATTTTGGTCAAAACAATTAGCCGGTCTTTGACCATTTTATCAGAGGTTCCCCAGTGTTTTTTAATGTATTGCAAGGTGTAGTGCAATTGCAATATGTAGCAATATAGCAATATGCAATATGTAGCAGTCCGGATAGCATGCAGCTCTAGTGAGTGTGAATGGGGTGGTTTTCTAAAATGAACCAGAATGTTAATTCCTTCTCCATACAGTATTTCACTAGTGAAATAGTGAAATGGTTCACGCTATATAGGTCACTGTGGGAACAATCCTTATATGGCTGTATATGTTGTATGTTGTTTTTTTTTTCAGAATTTGAAAGTACCAGGTGCTATATATATATATATATATATATATATATATATACACACACACACACACATATATATATATATATATATATCATATATATCATCAACATCAACAACATATCAATGATGTAGCAGCAGTGAATACATTCAGTAGATCATTGAGATTTTTGATTAACCACAGAAATAAAAATTGTTTATAATCAGCTGAATTCAGTTGTTTTTCACTTTATTTGAAGTCCAGGTTCAGATCTGTAGATGTTTAACCCGAGAGAAACTGAACATTAACAGGTTTAATACAGACCATCAACATCCTCAACGGGCTGTTACAGACACACTGACACCATTCTGTACCTGGAGCATAACTGGATTAAAGTTTGGCTGAGGTCAAGGTTAGGATTATGGCCAGGGTGAGTGTTAGATTAGGTTTTAGGTTGAGGTTAAGGTTAGGATTAGAATTAAGGTTGGGTAAGGTTGAGTAAGGTTGGGTTTTGTGTAATGGAAGTAACATATTAAATCTACTTCATGTAACATATCAACAACATCTACTTAGTGTGAATACTGTATCAACAGTACATCTTCAAGATATTTACTTCAATTTAATCCTAGTTAATGCATTCGGATGCCTCACTGTTGCTACTTTAGTGATATGTTGTTGATGTGTTACTGAAACTGAAAGAGTTTATTAATCATCTACAAAGGACCACTCCAAATAAAGGGGTGCCCAAACGTTTGCACACGACTGTATGTATGTATAAATGTATATAGAGGGATGCTGAGCCTTTATCCTTTCTTATTTTTTCCAATGATGAGATGAAAGGATGTACCTAGTAGAGCTCCTCCCTTGTCATATCTTCACCTCGCCTGAGCTGCTCTGATCTCTGTTATAAAGCCACAACTTTACAGGCAATTCTGTGCAATCTGTGGATCGTGGCAGCCGACCAACACGAGAGAATCAAAAAGAATTGCTGATGATGATGATAAATGGCTGGCTTTTTGTCAGAACGAAACTGTAATGCCATTAATGCAGATGGGTCAACACAGCTGGCTTTCTGGCTCCTGCCCTTCTGGGAGCGGGTCAAGGGCAGCATTTTCCACAGAGGCTCATATTTTCTGAGGATGGTCCAATTGTGGAGGTACACCAGATATGCTCCCACCACAAGACGTGATGGAGGCAGCTGATAGTGAGGACTGAAAGTTAAAAACCTATTAGCTTTATGCAAAGAAACCAGGCTAAGCGGTAGCCACTATTCACCTCTAGCCCTGTTAGCATCTCTTTAAGATATTCAATACTGTTCAAAACAGTGGATATTTGGTGCCACGGAGGGAAAACGTGGCTCCAAATGCCTCCCTCTTTCTCTCTCTGCTCCTACCCGGCTGACAGGTGATTGACAACAGTCACTGGCCAGTGACGGGTCATTAATCAAAAGGCTGATGAAAGCCGGGGGCTCTAAGCCTCGGCCCTCGAGACAGGGATGACACAGGGTTCTGTCCCTCCAGGGTTATTACATCTATATTTCAGCCTCTCTCTATCTTCCTCTCTCTGTCCCTCTCTCTCTCTCTCTCTCTCTCTCTCTCTTTCCGAAGCCTGTAACAGCCTAGAGGCTACCTCTCTCTCCCTCTCTGGCTCTGAACTTAACTGAACCCTGCTTCATTCTGCAGCTTAACTGACACGACACGTGTGAAGGGTGCGAACGTTCGTTACACGTCTGTGTTCTTATCATTTCACATCTTCACCAGTCACATTTCCCTGTCGCTGGTGTGAAAATATGGCCCGTCGCTGCCCGGAGACACTTTAGGGAGAATAACAGCGAGAAAAGAGTATTTCACAAGTCGTGAATACCGCTGCTCGGCGACTGTCACATTACATCTGGTGAAATGTCAGAATAATGTTATATTAGTGGATCCAAAGAAAGGCAAGCTGGTTACAGTGCTTTATTATCACCTGCGATATCCAGCCAAAAGCACTGTAGCCTTGGCTCAGGGGTCGGACACATGTGGCTCCGTTTAGCTCTTTTACTGCCCTGCCCTGCTGGTTTAGCCCTTTTACTGCCCTGTTACGGCTCCACAGCAGAATCAGATTTGTAGGTAAAAATAAAATAATCCTCCTTTGCAGTAAAATAAAGCTCTGCTGATCGTTCAACACAGTTTAACAATAAATGGTCTTAAACTCTGGAGTTAATGTAGAACTGCTGATTCACCCTTTAACCCTGAAGATCAGCGCAGACTGCTGGTCACCATAGCAACGCAGACAATTTCTCCTAGCTAGTGGCTAACGAAAAGGCAAAGACGAACATCGATAATTTGGTGACGAATGCACTGTTATAATCACTCCATCTTGTTTCCTGATACATTTAATCTGCAATGAAAAACTGTCAAACACTAAAAAGTCACGAAATTCAGCTTCTCATTCGAATTCTCCTGTTTCACCTTAAATGGTGCAGTATTTACATTCTGGCTCCTCAGGCACCATTTAAGGTGGAACGGGAAAATTCGAACAAAAAGCTGGCGAATGAGAAGCGACTTCAGCCTCGTAAAAAATCAAACGTTGAGAGACATTTTACAGGAAACTATTCTACTTTTGTGGAAGTTTCCTGCTGGAGATGTGAGAAAAGCGGCAATAGCTGAGCTAAAGCTTAAAGCAGAGCAAAGTAAGTCTGCATTTTCATTTATATTATGTTTTTTAACCTGTATTAGCACATGAGCACATACTGAGACATATTTACAGCCAAGATGGTAAAATGGACATAAAATGTTGAGGTTCCCAAGGTGTTTTTTTGTTGAAAGCACAAAATGGCTCTTCTTAACATTTGGGTTGCGACCCCTGCCTTAGCCTCATTGTAACTCTTGAAAAGAGTGTTCGGACAGTGTTATTGCTATTATGGTTACAATAATATGTGTATCATATATTAGTTTATTTGCTACTACAGAATACGAGTGTCTTGTCGTGCCGCAGACGTGTCTCAGAGGTCTGAATTACCCTGCTGAAAGTATGAACTCCATGCTGTTCTATGTGAAATGTAATTCTAGGTTATCCCAAAGGTGTTCAGTGCGGTTGAGGTCAGGGCTCTGTGCAGGCCACTGGAGTTCCTCCACACCAGACTCATCAAACCATGTCTTTATGGGCTCTCTTTGTGCACAGGGGCTCAGTCATGGAACAGGAAAGGCTGTTTTTTTCTAGCAGGGTGGTGTAGCTAGGCTAACTATATTAGCTGTAAAAGATATTTCTCTGTTTTTAATGTTGCCTCGACAAGCCAACATGTTTCCACATCATTCAGCGAGCGGGAAAATAATGCACCTCGTGCAGAAGCCGACACCTGCCTTTCATCTAGCATTAGCTCATCCACTGATTTAACCCATGGAGACCGACAGATTCCCCATCACTTTCATCACGTTTATGAATGTGCTCGTCTGTCTGCTTCCTTTGTGCTGCTGAATTTGTTGTATAGCCCTGCTGGACAGACGGCTGACAAAGTGATATTATAGCAACTCTCAGACTGAAGAATGTTTCTCTATGGTTGCCTTTCAGAAAGAAATTGACCAAATTGCCTTTTTTGTCCTTTACCACCCAGCTAAATTCTTTCTATAGGATAATCGTTACGCCAGGGGTGTTTTCACCACTATGCTCATGTGTGCGCTCTTCGCTAACGTAGCGTAGCTGCACTAAGCTTACTAACTCTGCCTCTTTACTCCCCAGCTCACGCGTGTTCCAGTAGAGGCCTGTGAGCAGTACTCGTCATGCAATGAGTGTCTGGGCTCCGGGGACCCGCACTGCGGATGGTGTGTGCTGCACAGCATGTAAGTACCACACGCTTCCTCTTCACACTGGCTGCATTCAGCTAGCTTAAGGGCAAATGCTAGCATGGATCATTCAGTAACTGCTCTAGGCAGCAGAGGGGGTAGATGGGCTAAATCTGCACTGAAAACACTGGATTGAAATGTCATGAATAAAATATGTCAACACAGTTATTGCCAAAGGTTAAATAAATAGAAATACAAAATTGCATTGATGTATTTTTTAAATGTGGAAATTACTCTACATGGCCAAAAGTGTGTGGACACCTGACCATCACACCTATATGAGCTCATTGGACATTCCATTCCAAAACCAGGGGCATTAATATGGAGTTGGGCCCCATTTGCGGCTATAACAGGAGTTTCAGAGTGTGTCTGTGGGAATTAGTGCCCGTTCAGTCAAAAGAGCATTTGTGAGGACAGGCAGTGATGTTGGATGCAAGGGCCTGGTTCACAATCAGTGTTCCAGTTTATCCCAAAAGTGTTCAGTGGGGTTGAGGTCAGTGCTCTGTGCAGGCCACTGGAGTTCCTCCATACCAAACCAGTCAAACCATGTCTTTATGGAGCTCACTTTGTTCAGTCATGCTGGAACAGGAAAGGGTTAATGCTGTAGCATTAACATCACCCTTCACTGGAACTAAGGGGCCCAAACCCTGAAAAACACCCCAATAACCCCCCCTCCACCAAACTTTACTGTTGGCGCTATGCATCCCCGTAGGTAGAGTTGTCCTGCCATCCACCAAACCCAGATTCATCCATCAGAATGTCAGATAGTAAAGCGTGATTCATCACTCCAGAGAGTTTCCACTGCTCCAGTGGAGTCCAGTGGCGGTGTACTTTACGCCACTCCAACTGACATTTGGCGTTGCACATAGAGATCTTAGGCTTGTGTGCAGCCGCTTGGCCATAGAAGCCCACTTCATGAAGCTCCCTACGCAACATTATTGTGCTGCCAAAGGTGGCGTCCTATGACAGTGCCACGTTTAAAGTCACTGAGCTCTTCAGTATGACCCTTTATACTGCCAGTATTTGTCTATGGAGATTGCACAGCTGTGTGCTTGAGTTTATACACCTGTTAGCAATGGGTAAAACATCTGGACTCAATACTTTTGGCCATATAGTGTATATACATTTAGATCTCAGTGCATCACCTTATTTGGGTAGATGCTCGCATGAAGTCTGTATGTTTTAATGGGTTCCTTATTTCTTGTGCACTCAAAGTCTCCCTCTAAATAGATAACAGACACATACACACTCTGAGTCAGACCACCCCTTCCACTCTCCCCCCACCATAGAGAGATGAGCTAGAGGTAGGCTGTGGGCCCTCAGGGGCCTGGCACATTTCCCACTTCACCATAAATTGAATTGGATTCTTGTGAGGACCCTGGAGGTGCGTGTATGTGCGAGCGTTCGCGCCCCTCTTCAGGGGGGTCTGCAGCCTCGCAGCTTTCTCAGACCTCCACACTTCCCTCCCGTACAGACAAACACAGCACCGCTGGCACTGAGGACCGTCAAGGCCAGGGAAGGTCACAGAGATGCGGGCGGTATGTCAGAAACAGCGTGCAGGGTCTAAAGCCTCTTAAGTGCAGGAGAAGACCCAGAGAGAGAGAGAGGGGTTAGAAAGAAAGTAACCTGTACGAGTGTAATGATGGAGGGATGATGATCCTGTCGGGGGCTGTGGAGTTCACTCTGCTCTCACAGGACATGCAGAAGCATTAGAGGACAGTGCAGTGGGCATTTGGCTCGCAGCATTAGCCACTTGGTTGGCCAAGTTCAGGGAAAAACTTGAAAACTTGTGCATCTCTCTCTCTCTCTCTCGCCCTCTTTCTCTCTTGTTCAGTGCATTAGCAGAGAAAGGTGAGACTGGGGGCTTAAATAGCATGTCTGTGTTTCAGTCCTCCAGAGACTCTCAGCCCTCTCTGAGCTCTTATAGCTGCTGCCCACACCACAACAGCCCTGTCCTGCCCTCCTCCACTGGGCAGCGATGCAGTTTTGTTGCCTGCTAGCATTGGACGTGATGGGTTTTTGCGTTCTGCAGTTATTTATAGATTTGCCGTGAAGTTTGTCAATGCGTAGTGTCAGCTAGATGTGGCTGATATGGCCAAAAATCCTCTATATCATTTAATATCAATAATTCTAGGTAAATATTATATGCCCTGTAACTCATCCCGCAGTTTTCAAGATATCAGCACCGTTTCAACTCCAGATTGTCTGGTTTGAATGTGAGATTTAGGCTTGTATGCAGCTTTTTGATCTGATACACAGTTTTCGTACAGTCTTCATTAAATTTTAGGGGTAGTCGTGGACTGGAGGTTAGGGATAGGTTAGGTTGCCTGTTCGATCCCCATAGCCGACAGTACATGACTGAGGTACCCTTGAGCTAGGCACCTAACCCCCAGCTGCGGATAGGGCTGCCCACCGCTCTGGGCAAGTGTGCTTACTGCCCCCTACTGTGTGCGCTTACTAGTGCGTATGTGGTGTTTCACTGCACGGATGGGTTAAATGCGAAGGTGAAATTTCCCCATTGTGGGACTAATAAGGGTCACTTAATCTTATTCTATTTTTTTTCCAATAGGAATGAATGGGGTAAAAAAATTGCATTACAATCTACTGTACTTCTGCTTGACCGAAAGACTGTATTCCTCATATACTATCTCAGGGCAGGCCCCTAAGCACAAATTCACTGCTGTTCTGGCCCACACTCATTTGTCACACTCGTTTGTCATTTTTTTCCATCCCTTCTTTCTCCCATAGACTCCCATTCATTTTCACCACCACACAAACTCTATTACTTCATTGCCCTACAGCCACCACACTACATGTACCCACTAAGGGTAGGACATCAAATTCTACTGCACAGCTGTACCAACCCGCACTCCTCTATGTGTCGTTTTTTTCATCCTTCATTCCCTCCCGATAGAGTCCCATTCATTCATTAATTCATTCATTCCTCTCATAGACTCCCATTCATTTTCACCCCCAAACAAGACATATACTTTCCTTTGACTGACAGCCACCAAAATGCATGTACTCACTCAGGGCAGGTCCCCAAGCTCTATTCGACAGCCATACTGACCTGCACTCCTCTATATGTCATTTTTTCATCCCTCGTTCCTCACATAGACTCCCATTCATTTTCACCCCTAACCAAGACATATACTTTCCTTTGACTGACAGCCACCAAAATGCATGTACTCACTCAGGGCAGGTCCCCAAACTCTAATCCACAGCCTCATTCCAGCTCAATTGCTTGGGAATGGAACCAGTAAACTCCTGTTTTGGACCAATGTTAGCTACCGCAAAAGTGTACCTTTCACAAAAAACTCTGCATGGACATCCTGCACCGTCTGCTTTCCTTTAATGGGTTGTGATTTAATACGCACGAGGCGATTATCTTAACAGAAGCCGTTGATCGTTCCCTGCCAAGGGGCTTTTTGGATCCCATCCACGTTGATGTACTGTGGGAGCGGGGCTCTAATGACCTGGCTGTCCTTAAAAGAAAGAGCTAATTGGTGGCTACAGATTGGGCTGTCAGAGAGCAGGCAGATAACAATCACATCTCTCTCCATCCATCCCTCTCTCTTCGTTTCAGCTCTCCGTCGCTCCTCAGCCCCGTCCCGTTGGGCGAGAGAAGCAGTTTCGCCTCTTAGCCGTGGGGAGCCGGGGGGGGTCCTTGACCCAACAGGTCTTTATGGTGGATTACAGCACACTTACACAGGCTGGAGCCGAATCGTGCTCTCTCCTGTCCTCCTCCGCAGGGCCGCCATGCCAGTCTGGCTGCGTGCTTTATTCCTCGTGCCCCTCAACCCCCCCACAAACGTTCTGCACCAAGCCTCGTTTTTGACCCCCTCTGCCACTTTCCAGACTTTTCTGCTCTTCTACTCGCTTTTCATTTCGTCCTCCACTGCTCTTCTTCACACAGTACCACTTCTGCGCTCTCTCTCTCTCCCACCCTTGATCTCTCTCTTTTAACTAAGCTCAACTCAGAGAAGTTTTTTGGCATGAACATATGAAGTTACAGTGCTGGCAAAGCACATAAGTTTGCTTATCATGCATCAGTGTTTTAATTAGTCTATATTCTATAGAGATAAGTGCCGGAGTGCCTACCACATATTGCAGACCTCATATTGACTATATATAGGTATCTATCTATCTATATATATATATATATATATATATATATACACATGTTATCAGGCCTCTTATGTTACATTTTTACATAGAATTGATACACACACACACACACACACACACACACACACACACACACACATATATATATATATATATATATATATACACACGCACACATATATAATTACGATTAATCACATTTTGATACGGCCATGTGAGTGGACAAAACAAGCTTCCCTTCTGTAACAGGTTGCCACATCAACCTGAGCAGAGGTTGTAGATGATGTGATTTCCAGTGAATGATGTCACCAACAACCAGTGAGAGCAGTGGCTGCATGTTCCAACCAATTAGTGTATATATCATACGGTCGTAGGCCCCTGGTCAAATTACATTTCTAAGTTAAAATAAGTGAACAAACTTAAAATTTCTGTAAATCTTAGTGCACAATTTGTATTTATATTTGCTGAGTTTACCATATTCAGCAAATTGGACACATGTTACAGTGGAGGCTCTCGAGGGCAGCTGGGCTTTTCCACTTTGTTGCTTTTGTTAGTTTGCTGCTTGTTGATTTATCCATAGGTCTTCCACAAGCACTCGCTGCTGAGCTGCTCAAGGAGTCATTTTAAAAGCCACTTAAATTAGAGGGATACAGTTGTAGTTACTATCATAGCAACAAACCACAGCTGCCACTGTGTTTCAGCCTGCACTGCTACAGAATGAATGAGTTAACGGTGTTAAATAGCTTTGTGGCAAGTTAAGTTATCTTAGAAACTAGCAGCATATCTCTGTCTCTCTTTCTCGGCCACTGTCTCCCTCCAATCCTCCATTTCTTGTTCTCACTCTCTTTCTTAGTGCATGGCCTGCTGCC